ATCGTTTTAGTGGCGTACCATCGTCCATAAAACTATAGAAAAAATGACGGATTAGTACGAGTACACAGGACTAAATTAAAACGATATTTTTATTATAGCTGTATTTAAAATTAAAGTTAAGCTCATATCCGATAACTATTATAGTTATGGTCTAGGAATATCACAATTTGGAACTCAATTGTTTTATTTTGTTATTATATATACTGTCAAGTATCAAATGCATTACTTGAACTTACATTTTCCATTTCGAAATCCTCCATAGGCTTAAAATCAAGACATTCATGACCCGAAACGACATTCAATGAAATAACTAGCAACACGGATACAAGACATAAGCCATTGAACTTCATTGTACGACAGTGTATACAGACGCGTAAATTGAATACTATTGAAATCTAAACAAAAAAAACATTGCAATTATATTACTTAAGTCATCATCATGTACGGTAAGTATAACGTCGGCTATTTGAGGTCAAACCCTGCTATCATTAGATGGTTTCTAGAAGGGACGGGTCGTTAAGCTATAGCCAGAGAGGACTCGCCCAGCAAACGAAGCACCTGTGAGCGCTAAACCCACTGCCGTCTTATCGACTTGGCCACACGTCCTCTACGTAGTAATGTGAGGTTGTGAGGTACAGTGCCCAGAGATTGGCATCAAAGCGTTTATTTAAATGTGATTTTATCACTATAACTAATTGAAAATTAGCTAGGCAAGAGTTCTCCTCTACAAAAGTCATTTTTTATCAAACTTTTGCCATAATACGGAGAAAAAATAACATTAAAAGTTAAAAACTAGAAAAACTTAATATTGTCCCATTTTTAAATTAATCCACAAATTTTGCGGCAATGTTGCTGTTCGAAGACCACGACAGTATTGATAATGTTTTGGGTGGGATGCAGAAAATTAGTAGACGTAATGTCGGATGTATTTCAATATATAATTAAAAATCATTATGGTCATTGCATTTTCTTATTCTTCAGTATAAATAAATAGCTATTAAAAAAAAAAAAAAAAATCGTTTTAATCCAACCACATTTAACCTCACTGCCCCTCTTATTAAAATTATTAAATAAGTCAAATTGTTCATTACATTATTCTTAATTTTAAACGTTTAAAAAATATATGTAATCGAAATCACATTGTATAAAACCTAACGAAATAAACTCAAAATTCCACAAGTCTGATTGTAACATTACACATTAAGCAAAATAATGATTAAATATAAAATCTAATACATCATTTTATTCAAAATGTCACCTTTTAGATACAAATGGAAATTATAAATTTCACCATTTCTGATAGATAAAAACATACTCACAACTTTCGAATTTTGATAGTGCAGCTTACTAAACGATGTACTAAATTTTGAAACAAGGTTTTAACTTTAATGCTTTTTAGTTATTGGTTTTACACATCGATCGTCATGGCATATAGTCTAGAAATATTTGTCAGGCTAGTATATGTGCATTTTTGTGAATTTACATAGCAGGTTGAGTATGACAATTTATCGATAAAAATAATATTAATAACAATTTATACTCAATAGGTGTTAACCATTTTTCTTCGTGGTAGAAATGTAATTTAAATAATAGTTTATACATTTGTAATATATACATATATATATATATATATGCTCTTTAACTAAAGGGAATTTTTTAGCCTCGACGCGATAGTGAGAAGCTGTTTGTTTTATATTGATGTATTGTGTGTAGTAATAATAACTTGTTTCTTGTGGACCAACCTACTCGTGTAGCACCTCCATAGATCCGAAATCGTACTCAAATAGTTGTTTGGTAGGTCAAAAGTAAAAAAAGTTAACTTTTTCTTCCTAAAACCCTATAAACCCCGAAAAAAATTACCTGTTTTTCAATCGTAAACTTTGATTTGCTATATATTCGCGAAAAACGTTCGGATCGAGTCAAAATTTCGATAGCTAGGGGGATTTTTGCATCCCCGGACTCAAAATTAGCACCCCAAAAAATGGAAACCCCACTCCTTGTATTTTATTTTATATTTAATGGTTTGAAGATAATAATTATGTTTAATCAGGTATACATAATTTTAGAGCCCCCTAAAAGGTAGGTCTAATGTCGCCTACGGTCATTAGCCCGTAAAGGTTTAATAATTTGTTTAACGTAATTTATTACTTTTAGTTCAACGGCATTGTTTTTATACGTTTTATTAGAGGTTGATATCGAAAAGTTGCTGTAATATAATGAAGCTAATAGCTCTGAACTCCTATACTTGATATCCTTTTACTTTTTTTTTTTTAATAGCCTTTATTAACAAAAAACATTCGGCTCAACAATTAAACAGCAATAACAAGTAAGATGTAAATGTACATTATGGTAATAATATGATTTTAAAGACAAAAGAAAAAGAAAACAAATATAAAGAAAAACAATCAGAAAACTAAATAACATTGATATAAACTTAAAACTTAAATTAAATGATGAGGACAATATGGAGCAGAATTAAGGGATAGATGGAATGCATGTGACGGAAGATTATGACCAAGTCTAAGGCGTGAAAAGGAGGATATTACATTTCTGGGAATATTTAAATTATGGAACCAAGGACGAAAGGTAATGGAAGGGGAAATAGAACGGAACTGAGGTTAACGTTGGACCATTTGTCTATCCACGCTTTGGCTACAGTGTGACGGAAAAGGCGGAGGAAGTCAGAAGAAGGGGTATTGGAGATGGTCGGAATTAAGTGGGATGAAGTGGAATTAGCGAGGAGGTCGGCAACCTCGTTACCCGTAATACCAACGTGACCTGGGACCCAATGGAAAATAACTGATTTATTTTGTGAGAGGATTGAAAAGATTAATGACCTGATGATTAGGATAAAAGGGGAAAGATGAGAATTGAACGGAAAGGATGATATAGCTTGAAGGCATGAAAGAGAATAAGAACAAATTAAATAAGCCGTATTAGGAGCGGAGGAAATGTAAGTAAGGGCATGGATAATGGTAAGACTTTCCGCCGTAAAGGAAGATGAGACTAGATGTAATTTGGAAGAAAAGGATATATTCAAAGCAGGAATAAAAAAGGAACAGCCTGCCGAATTGACTGATACCGAACCGTCCGTGTATATTATGCATGTATTAGGAAACGAAGAAGAGATATAATCGGAAAAGAGATTGTTGACTGTTGAAGGGTGGAGAGAACGAAGGGTTTGAACGTGGAGGCCGAGAAAGCTAGTATTGGAGAGAACGGTGGGTTTAAGAGTGGGGGAATTAAATGGGCAATCATATAAGGGTAGTCTCGAATGCGATTTATATACAAGGGCGGCAATAGGAGAGAGAGAGTGGCAAACCGAGTCTAAAATAGGGAGAGATTTGGGAACGTAACGCCAGGAAGAGGCCCCTTAAGGAGTCTGGCATTTTTTTTTAATATTTGTAGCTCATACGTGTTCATTTATTATTCGTAAGTATGGCAATTTGTTTTCAATATATGTTTGTAGCTCATACGAGTTCATTTATTATTCGTAAGTACGGCAATTTTTTAAAATTCTTTTTAATAAATTTAACTTGGAGCATTTAACACGTGGGACACTTGTGTACGCAATAAATTGATAAACCTCGATATTTGAAATCGAGAAGAAAACCCAATAACTTTACATATTTTTCAACTTGGATGTGTAATAATTCTTATAAACGTGTGATCCCCCTCCCTCCCACTCCAATAAATTAATAAACCGTTAGGCCGAAAATCCAATAGGTTAGGTTAGGTATAAAATAACTTAAGATAATCACAGATTATTGTCTTTTACACATGTTTTACTGTCTGCACACACATATTGCAGCAAAAATTATAGTACATCGTTTAGTAAGCTGCACTATCAAACTTCGAAATTTGTAAGTATACTTTGTTCAGAAATGGTGAAATTTTCAAATATTTTAATTTCAAAAACGCATTTGGGATACAAATTTAAATTTTTTATTTTGTATCTTAAAAATATTTAAGGTTACATTTTGGATAAAATGCTATATTAGATTTTTGTTGGAATCAAAGTTGTGCATCTTTATAATAAAATGTGGAAAAAATATTTGAATGAGAATTTGTAAAATTCTCTAATTGAAGTAGATATACATTTTTTACATTTTTATAATGGCCATAACTTTATTTCTAAAGATTTTATTTTAATTACTTTAAGTACTTTATCTATGCGTAATTAAATGTTTGTTTACATTCAGTGCAAACTGTTTTTAGCGACGGCAAAACTACTGTTTTGTTTACACAGTTCTTGTTGCCACAGCCGCAAATTTTTATTTCATTGCGAATAAAAACACTTTTGTCTCTGCCGCTGCAAAGCTCGACCAGATATTGTTACTAATAAATATTAAGACGTAAAAATATCTTTGGCTTTATTATTACAAAACTCAAATTTTCCAGATTTTTCAGAAACATCTTCTTCGCATCTTCGCATTACACTCCAAATTATATGATGTCGGCCACCCTAGTCCGACACCTCCATTGGATCTTGATCTCTAGTTCGTACTCCTCCGATGATCAACGAGATGTTCAATGACCCCAGCTATTCTAATACCACTCTCTTCAACTCTTTCCCTGTACATTCATATTCACAACAATTTTCACTGCCTCTGCCTGATCTCTTCTCATAACATATCTGAACCATTTCAACATATTCTCTCTCATTTTCCCCACAATTGATGCCACTCCTAGACTCCCCTTGTTTATTCATTTCTTATTCTATCGTCCCTCCTCTTGTCTACTGCCTAACATTCTGACTCATATAACATTTCTGGACTCACTACCGTCCTATAAAAATGTACCTTTCAATCTTATAGCCATCCTTCTGTCACACAAAACACTCTCCTCCGCTTTATCCATCAACAATTATTTAGGCCGTCGTTAAGCTCACCGTACATGATGATACCAGCAATAATATCACTCAAGTTGTATATTATTTCAATGTTTTTTTTTAGATTTTAAAAGTATTCATTTTACGTTGTTATATACAACGTCATACAATGAAGTTCAATGGCTTGCGTATTTTATCTATGTTGCTAGTTAGTTCTTTGAATGTCGTTTCGGGGCATCAGTGTCTTAATTTAGATCCTATGGAAGATTTCGAAATGGAAAAGGTAAGTTCAAATAATGCATTTGATACCTTACATGATACATAACAACAAAATAAAACAATTGAGTACCATAATATGTTCGTTAACCATAATTATCATTGGTTGAGCTTCTAAAAGCTTAACTGTATTTGTAAATATAGTTACCTTTTTTTAACTTAAGCTTATAATTGTTACCTATATGAAAATCGGTCCCTTTTCTATAGTTTTTAGGAAAATGGTACGTCGTTAAAACGACGTTTCCAGAAAATCGATGTTTAGTGTATGATTTTTACACACAGAAAATCGAAAATATGATAGAATATGCAGAAAAATCCAATTACAGCTTTTATTTTGGAGTATTGAAAGCCAAATCATCAAAATTACCATCAGAAATGACTTATACCGATCTTCTTACTGATTATTCAAGTACGTGCGATTTGATAGTTTGTTTTGACAGATTTCTATAAATATTTTTGTGAATTCGTTCATCGTGTTACAATAGATATACCAATTACCAACAATTCCTTGTTATCTAAAAATTAATTCAATTTACTTACCGATCGTCAACCAGTTTATATTATATAGCAGATATCTAATTGGTAATTTTTATAATACACTTTCCAGATGATCATGTGGAGGATCCGTCTTTTATTGTGCTCTACACTGACTATGTATCCTTTGCGCTTGTATACATGTGCATACATTTGACAAATGACAATGCATTCGTACATTATATAACCATTATGTCTAGATCAGTGATGTTAGATAATGAAATCATAAACGATGTAAATACAAAATAACAATTGCTTCGTATTATTGCGATATTTATCGTTTTGGAATAATAAAAAAAATTAATTAATTGAATTTGATTTTTTGCTGTTTCAAAAATGCTTTGTTTTTTCTTACAGTTGATCAATTATATATATTGGGGTCATAGTTCACCACATGATCTTAAATTCTTAAAAGTTGACCATAAGGACTGTGACTATGAGAATATTAACGAGAATAGTAATGATCAGAATGTCATTGGCGAAGATGGGAAAGTTTACATAACCATTAAATATTTATAAAATGCCAGAGGATGAACCTGCACCGTAAGGATGCGTTAAAGTTTATTAAATACGAATAAATTCTAAAGGTTTTAAGTATGACAACGTACAACAGCCAACCCATTACAATTATAATGTTTAATGTAATCTATTAAAAATTGTTATCATAAATACTTTTACCAATGTTTATAAATACTATTTAATTCAAAATCAGTGATACCATCTTAACTACAAAAATGTTAAATTCTTAGACCTATTTGTTTAATTGGAGATCTTTAGCTTAGTATAAAATATATAATTGTTTCACGTTGTTAAATAAAATTTATTTGTACTAAATAATATATAACAGTAAAAAATTATAAAAATTTGGAAATTTATGTTATTTTTGTTATTGATTTAATTAAACTAATATACCCGTTAAATAAAATAAAAAAGTTTACTCATTCTATGAGTTATAACGAATAATAGTTGTAATAATTAACATACATGTATTTACCTATTTAATAAATATGTGTAAATTAGGAAAAATAAATTAAATAATTTTTAGCAGTAACAGTCTTTGTCGAATATCCCCGTTTCTTAAGCGATTTTTTTAAAATTTAATTCCAGGGTTTAAGTCCCACCTAAGCTATTCATTTTTTGACATTTTTAATTTTTTTCTTCTTTGATGTACGCTTAAAACCTAATTATCGGGAAGATAACTTTATAGTACTATTGCTTGACGAAATTATGTACAAAAATTATAAGAGTTTAATAATAATAATATTTACTATGTTCATTGTTTTCGACGGTTTTGAAATAATAAAAATATACCATAATATTGTCATAGTTGTCTGCTTTACAAATCGTCCAGCCAACTGTACAAAAACGCTAAAACTAAAAAAGTTGCTCATTACACAAATTTACACTTAAATTTCTTTGAAATATTATGTAAGAATGTTGCAGTCCTCGGTTGTCTTTATTACTGCTTGTTCATTTTAACAATTTTTCTCTTGTAAACTAGAATGTTTAACAGAAGATACAAATTAGATCAGCCGACGACTGCAAAATTCAATTTCGACAACATTCTACTAGTGATAGAATCCGTATCTTCACAACAAAAAAACTTTATTCAAGCCACTTAAAAATCATGCAAGTAGTAAATATTATTACAATACATATATATATATATATATATATATATATATAGCTGTGTACTTAAGAAATGGAATCTGGAATTCGAAATAAATTTATAGTCAAAGTTAAGCGTTTTTTTTTTAAATCTTCACCAGAACATATTTTTACTTAGGTACTCAGCTTAATATACTGTAATAATCTTAAATAATTTTTACTGGATAAATAGGTTTTTTTTTAAAATCCGGATTTTCGGATTTCCATTATCACTTCAAACATATTATTTAAGTAGTTTAGGTGTATTTACTAATAATTTTTCTAGTTTTTTTTTTTTACAGTCGAGGTCATCTTAATTTAATTAAAATGTTTACTTTACACATTTTCTAAAACAACGTAAAAATACAACCTCATCTAAATCGAACTTGTTTGAAAGTAATGGCAAAGATATTCATCTAAGATTTTAGTGATCTTTGAAGTTTTTTTTTTCTAAACAAACCTAACCGGTCGAAAAATTGTTTAGTAGTTATATTAAAATTAATACATATTTGTTATTATTGGTCTAACACTTCAGAGACAATAAGTTTAATATGAAAAAAAAAGTTACATATTCGTATAAACATATGTTTGAACTATCCTGTTTGGTACTAAACAAATACTAAATAAATAATAATAATAATATAAACATACAATCAAATAGTTAGAAAAATGAAATTTTTCGACAGCAGCCGTTTTCGATAATTCTGTCATCTTAGCAAACATAATCCTTTCGATCACTTTTATTTATTTAAAAATTTACAGTAAACAGAATAAAAAAATTAAATTTTCGTAGAAATAATTGAGTTTCATAAGGAAAAAATTACTCGAGTTCATTAAGAAAAAACAATTGTTTGAGTTGAAGTAAAAGTAATGGTTACAGTTTATTGTCCAGGCGATTCTGATTTTTCGGTTTTTAAGCAACAATCCTTTCGAGTTTCGAACACTGTTAACCGTTTAAAAATTCACGAAACACAAACAACCAACACACATTTCTGAATAAATAATAGAGTTTTATCAGGAATACAATTGCTGGAGTTGATGTAAAAATAAAAAAAAGTAGGTATGATAATATTGTTTAATTATCGACGGCGATTTTGCTTTGGTTCGTTGCTAAGCATAATTATATTAGTCGTGTAAATAGTTGTAATACAGGGTGATCCAACTAATTTTTTTCTAACCTTACCTACCCGTATTTTAACCGGTATTCGTCACTTCGCCGATTTCGGCCGAAAATTATATACATCAACTGTGCCAGCGTTTGTATTTTATACTTTTTATTTTATTTTATTTTTCAACGCTATTCATTTGCATGTATGATTTAAGTTAAAGTTAAATTTAATTTAAAGTAAAGCTTTCACCTCCTTATAGACGGAAGTCGGTGAATTGCGCCCTCCTAAAAAGGTCATCGTCATATACTGTGTAAATTATGTAATTATGTATCGTGAATTTTTTTTTCCTTCATTTTTTGACTTGTTCTAAAATTCAAATTTGACTTAACTTTAAACCTGTGATCTCTTTCTAGACTTTAGCCAGCAAACTTAGGATTTTTTTAGTTTAGCGGAGCAAAGCGACGGCGCCGAGCGAGCTAAGCGATCAAGTGCCAAAACACTCGGAGACCTGCCGTACGATAGTAGATATCAAAATATAAGGTGCGGCCAATTTGATATCACATTTAGAAATTGATCGGCGCAGTTGATGTATACCTTTTTTTAAGATAAGATTTTCTTTTTTACCTGCAATTTTCGGTGCAGTTGATGTATGCCCATTTTGACGGTACGATTAGGAATGACACCACTTTTACCAAAAACCATGTTATTCCATGGTACACTTTTCCTAATCAACATTATTTTCCAGAGACATTTTTTTCTGGTAACCACTAATTGTTCCAAACAGGAAAAATACTAGATTGGACAAAGTGGTTATTGTGTCGTTAGTTTTTACACTTACAACAATATTTCCCAATTTTAAAATATTCTATAGAAAATATATTCTTTGGAAAAAGTAGATGTAAGGCTTATATGTCTTTTAGATATTTTCATACTTTGGAAAATTAGATAATTAGTAATATAACTTTTAGAACAATTTATCTATTGTCGTTTTTTTTCCATTTAAATAATTTACTGTTTTTTTAGATTACTTATCTCATGTTTGATTACATTTTGAAATAATTTTTTGCGAATTCATAGTCATAAACATGGGCGGATGTAAGCTTCTCAGCGTGGGCTTTAAGGCTTAGGTACTCACTAAATCCTAAATTTAACTGCTAATTATTATACAGCCATAGCCGTCCAAAATTCACACTTATTCATTTATTAGTTCATTTTAATCATATTTCATATTGCATATAACAGAAAACAGACTTAAATTTTTTAATATTTAATATTAGGTAATTATTAGCGTCTTGGATGGTTTATTCATACATTATCAGAGCATTTTTCTTAACCCCATCTACCTTTATACGTTGTCCATTAAATGAAAACCGTACATTGCCGTACTATGTAGGTTCATCATTATGGGACTTACTCTTATTGTCATATAATAAGTAAAATGTGCAAACATTTTAGTAATAAGAAAAAAGTAAGCTAAATCCATGGATTACACGACGTGGCTTAATTCAATCAGAACTAAGAGGACAATTTTTAATAAAAAGAAAATGCAACAATTTATTGTAATATGTAATAAAGTAGTTTATAAAATATAGGGATTTATTGAATAAGCTAATGTACATGGCAAAAAAACATATGTTATGGTACTAAAATTATTAATTCACGAAATAATTTTAAAATAGTTTGGAGTCTAATCAAATATTATATTATATTATAGAAAAAATGTTAGTGAAATAATAGATGACACAGGGAGGATTGTTGACCTTTCTCAAACTATTGTCGTGATGCCCTTTTAAATCGCATAATGCGACTAGTAAATAAAAATAATATTGATTTATTTGTTAAAAATTCGTTAGAAGCTTTTGTTAATTATTTAAATAATCCAATTGTGTAAATATTGTTTATCTTTATCTATTATTTTGTGTTGTTGAAATCCATTGTATTTGTCAGCTGTTATGTTAATCTGTATACTTTTATTTTTGTGTAAATTCTATGTTTATGTTCTTATTCTTCTCTTATTTTTAATTGGGTATTCACCCGTTTAAAAATACAATAAATAAATCAATTGCTCAACGATTACATTAAAGGGATTGAATGCAGGAATGCATGTTATAATGGAAGTCGATTGTTGAATAACTGATTCATTTACTTTGAAAAGACAAATTTGAGCAAATAAAATAGGACTTAAACCCAATTTTAAATGAAATATCATTAGTCGATTTCTACATTAACCTAGAAAAGTCGCCGATTTAGTCAAATATTTTTACATAATTGATATCTAATCATCCTGAGTTGACCTAAAATGTCCAACAAACAGACCACTTCAACCCCCTTAAGATGGGTCAAAACATATTCACTGGAATCAAACTTATACATTTTACAACACTTCTTGGCTACGGTAAATTCTGACTTAAGAGCATTTTCTTCAATGTCTAATAAGTAAGCATGCTGTTCCCAATACACGTTTAATCAACATTGTCAATGTATTATTTTCACTTCAAAATATCTATTTGTATCATAACCCATTCTTGTGACATACGAAAACCTTTAAAAAGTAAAACGTTTTTTTTTAAACCAACTTTGAAATTTATAAAAAATATGTTACATTGTTTTATGTAGCCTTTGTGCTACTAGGGAGGGTATTCTAGAGATGGGCTCTCCCTCCTTTAATTACACCTATGGATTTGTATGGGAAAAATCGCCTTCGATGATGTATTTAACCTATGTTTTCAAACAGGATTTTGAATCCAATTTGTATTTGAACTTCACAGTAATAGTTTTCAAAACCGATTACGAGTCGATTGTACAATTTACCAACACGACGTTAATCGCTTTAAAATGTGCATGTATATAAACAGCTATACAATGTATTATACCTACGCTAGGAAATGTGTCAATATTTTTGTAATCTTCAGTATAAAAACTATATGTATGTTCTTTTTCGAGTTCCAGCAAGTATGATAATAATTTCAACCATCAGCCCCTAACCTAACCTAGCCGGTTGTTTTTCAAATTGTTCCCAATTGGCAATGTAAAATATAAACAGATATTTTATCGAGCGTTTCAATTGAAAAATTATTCGTTTGCTGTTAAAACGAAATTGTTATTGTGTTTTTTTGCAGTTGTTGTCGTTGTAACTGTTCTTATTTGTACCAATATTTCACTGAAAAACAACTTAATTTTTTTTTTTGTTCCATACAGGTCGGTACTATTAGTTTTTATAACTTTATGCGAATTGTTGTTTTCAATATTCCACAGTATTTTTTGTCCCTGCATATTATTTTTCTGATCAAATACATATAAAAGCAATTTTTATATATCAAATAGATTTACACAATACAGTATATACCTGTACAGTATGTACAGTATACCTTGGTAACCTCTATTTTAAGTATAATTTTAATTCCTAAAACTACAAATATAGAAAAAAGATTAATTAAACCCAACTATTTTTCAAAACAAATATGCTTTGCTTAAAAGTTAATTTAATATAATATGAGTCAGCGCTTAATTATTAAAAATGTAATCTATAGTACGTGATAATTAAGAAGCGATAATTATATATATATTTTTTACTAATTGAATACAGGGTGATCATATTATCGTGAACTATTGTATATTGTTATTATACAATATGATTTAAATTTTTCACCATTTTGTTTTTTTTTGTTTTTACCAAACTAATTATTTTTATATTAACTTAAATGGTAAAATATATACCTATTACTAACTTTTTAAATGAAGGATATTGTACTAAAAAAGTATTTTTCAGCCGAGTCTGCAACCACGAAAGAGCATTTACATGTCTCGTTGAAGTACCGAGATAAATTTAGAGTAGTAGTGGAATTATAAATAATGATATAGTATAAGCAGTAACAAGCTAGTATCTAAGGTGGCTAGTATATTAAAACATCAAGTTTCTGGAAAATGTAAGTTCAAGTAATCCATTTGATACTTGACAGTATATATAATAACAAAATAAAACAATTGAGTTCCAAATTGTGATATTCCTAGACCATAACTATAATAGTTATCGGATATGAGCTTAACTTTAATTTTAAATATAGCCATAATAAAAAAATCTTTTTTATTTATTCCTGTGTACTCGTACTAATCCGTCATTTTTTCTATAGTTTTTAGGACGATGGTACGTCATTAAAACGACGTTTCCATATACTCGATGCGTAACATATGATTTTTACCCACAGAAAATCAAACAATTTAATACCAGTTACGAATTTTATTATGGAGCATTGGAAGTCAATAAGAGTTTACCATCAGAAATGAATGTTGTTGATACTAGACAGGATTATTCAAGTACGTGAAATTTCAACATTTAATTTTCAATATTCGCCTACTCCAAAAACATTCCAATGCGCTTATTTACTTACCGATAGACAACCAATTTATATATTATGTAGATACTTAATTGGTAGTTTTTAAAATGCACTTTGCAGATCCTAAAGCGCAGAAACCGTATTTTATTGTACTCGACACTGACTATGTATCCTATGCGAGTGTGTTCATGTGCGTAAAATTGCCAAATGACAAGGCTTCTTACATATTGTAACCATTTTATCCAAATCAGTGAGCTTAAATAGTGAATTCCTAAATGAAGTAAATAGAAATTAAAAAAATGTTATGTTTTATTGATATTTATCGTTTTAGAATAAAAAGAAAAAGAAATTAATTGGACCTGAATTTTTGCAGTTAAAAAAATGTAATTGTTTGTTCTTTAATTTACAGTTGATCGTAAATATATTTTCGGTAGCTCGAGCTCCTCTAAATCTCAATCACGTTGACCACAAGAACTGTAACTATGGGACTCTTGTTGAAGATGGTGATGATCAGAATGTCATTGACGACGATGACGATCGACGACCTTACGTTTCTATCGAATGGATGATAGAACCTACACCATAAGGAGGCATTTATGTTGATTAAATACGAATAAATTCAAAAGATTAATAGTTCGACAATGTAAAGCTAACCCTGTCGCTAACCCCCATTCAAATTATAATGTTTAATGTAATATATAAAAACATTTATCATAAAACCTTTTACTATTGATTATAATTTATATTTAATTGGAAATCAACGATAACTACAAACATTTTAAATTCTAAGGTCTATTTGTTTAATTGAAAATTTTTTGCTTACAATTAGTATGAATGTATTTATACTAATAAATGTAATTTATTAATCTATAAATTAATTAATAAAGAAATTACCTGATTAATATTTATGTTCATTTACATTATTACCTTTACCTTATTGTTAGCTTTGTGAAGTTATTTTTAAATTCTGCTAAAATTCAACATATTTTTCATAAATTAGAAATTAGTAATATTTGAATATATTTCGTAGTTAGTAAAAAGGCCTAACTTTATGTATTCTAGCCAAGACTTTAGTGGTTTAGTTTTTGACTATAACTATGTACAAAATTATGTCTTATTAAAACAATTTTTGAATTTAAATAACTTGGTGTAACTGTATAATACATTTCATATTTATATATAATTACTATATTGATAAAAATAAACATTATTCAATATACCACAAACGTGTCTTACTCTAGAATTTAGATCTATTTTACTATCGAACTTTGAAATATCAACCGGTAGAAAAACAATTCCGTTAAACTAAAAGTAATAAATGACGTTAGAAAGTAGTTAACCCTTAACGGGCTCATGGCCATAGGCGCAACTAGACTTACATTTTATGGGTTGATAAAATTATGTATAGGATATGTATAGTATATTTAGGAATTATGTACCTGATTAAACATAATTCTTATCTTCAAACCATTAAATATAAATAAAACAATTTTAAAACAAAGTTATTCTAAAATAAAAAATTTAAACGAGTATGTACCTACATTATTACAGTTTTATGCGTGCACATCAAGGATTTAGGTTTCAATTTTAGGGACCCTAAAGTCCCGCCAGTACCCCCTTAGTTCCACTTTATGTATAAATAGGCATGCCTAATCCGTTAATAAAAATTGTTTTTCGCGAAAATGTTGCAAATTAAAGTTTATGGTTAAAAAACCGGTTGTTTCGGGTTTTCCCTATTTTTAGGATGAAGGAGTTGACTATTTCTACTGTAGACCTACAAAAGTACAATCTTTATACGATTTCGGATCTATACAAGTGTGTCACGAGTAATTCGGTCCACAGAAAAAAAAGTTATTTTTTCTACAGATACTTTTTATCATTATAAAACCAATAGCTTCTTAATATCGTATCGAGGCAAAACAAATTCCATGTGTTAAAGAGCATTTTTTATAAAAAGTGTATAAACTATTATTTAAACTACATTCCTACTACGAAGAAAAATAGTAAACACCTATCAAGTATGAATTTATATTAATATTATTCTTAACGATAAATTGTCATACTCAAGCAGCTATGCAAATTCACAAAAATTCACATAGGCTAACCTGCCATATTTTTCTGCATTATACGTCATAACGATCGAAGTGCAAAGCCAAAAACTAAAAAGCACATAAGTTTAAACTCTGTGTTAAAATTCAGTACATCGTTAAGTAAGCTGCACTATCAAATTTCGAATGTGAGTATGCTTTTCTCTATCAGAAATAGTAAAATGTTAAAATACTTTAATTTCAAAAACGTATTTAAGTACCTTAAATAAATGTCGAATTTCCCTTTGTATCTTAATGGTGACATTTTGAAAAAAATGCTTTATTAGATTTTATATTAAATCATTAGTTTGCTTAATGTGTAGTGTTGGAATCGGAGTTCGAATAAAATGTGGAAAAAATATTCGAATGAGAATTTGCATAACTCTGGTTGGAATATATATATATTTTTTACATTCTTATAATGGCTTTATTTCTAAGGATTTTATTTTAATTGATATGACATTCGTTATAGAAATGTTTTCCTCTTATGGTTATTTAATGAATGAATTTGCTTTAAATCAATAAATACAAGGATTGGTGATACAAATTTTCAAAATATTGAAAAATGTAGAAAAATATGTACCTAAAAAACTAGGACATTAAAAATTCTTAAAACATACGTCTTACGTTAGTTGGATCATCCTACGATTTTTTATGAAAAAGAGAAATTCTTGCGTTTCATTAATTATAGTGATTTTTTAATATAATTGCAACTTTTTTTTTAGATATTGAAATTATTCAGTTTACTTGATTATATACACCGTCATACAATGAAGTTCAATGGATTGCGTCTTTTATCTATGTTGCTAGTTAGTTCTTTGAATGTCGTTTTGGGACATGATTGTATTAATGTAGAACCTATGGAAGATTTCAAAATGGAAAAGGTAATTTAAAATCATGCATTTGATACTTGACAGGATATATTATAACAAAATAAAACAATTGAGTACTAAATTTGGAAATTCCTAAACCATAACTATGATCGTTATCGGATATGAGCTTAACTGTAGATATTAGATATAGCTACCTTTTTTTAACTTAAGCTTATAATTGTTTTATAAAAATATATTAAAAGTATTTCACTTACTACCCACTCCCACCATTAGTAGTTTCTATGTAATCGGGACTACCACCAATCAGCTTAGTTACTATAATTAAAATTAAAATAATGTAAGTTAATAGGCTGGTTCCACCAGATTTTTGAAATGCCAGAAACAATTTCAACTAAACTTGGTACACATATGACTTGCGTTTTAGAAAATATACTTGGTAGAGGTGGCAGGAGGAGGTAGGTGGGGGTGGTAAGTAACTCTTACCAACTTTTTGTAGTCAGGGCAGAAAAGATTAGACATACAAAATGATTGAAAACTAAATCTTTCTTATTTATTTATACATCTAGCTGACATTTCATAAAAAAAAAAACAGAATAAAAATATTTTTTTATTAATTCCTGTGTACACGTACTAATCCGTCATTTTTTCTATAGTTTTTAGGACGATGGTACGTCATTAAAACGACGATGTCAAATACTCGATGCTTACTGTATGATATTTACACACAGAAAATAAAAAATTTAACAGATTATGCAGCTAAATCCAGTTTCAATTTCCTTATATTTGGAGTATTGGATACCAATACACGTTTACCATCAGATATGACTTATTTTAATATTAATTTAGATTATTCAAGTACGTGGTGATTTGACAGATTTCTATAAATATTTGTGTTAATTCGTTCGTCGTGTTTCACTAGATATACCAACCATTCCTTATTATTTAAAAATTAATGATTAAAGTGTTTAGATAAATTTACTCACCGATAATAAACCAATTTACATTATATAGATGCCTAATTGGTAATTTTTATAATATACTTAGCTAATCCTGAAGAGAAAACGTCTTTTATTGTGTTCGACACTAACTATGAATCCTATGCGGGTGTATTCTTATGCTCAAAAACGCCCACTGGCTTTAACCATTATGTGGCCATTATGTCCAGATCTGTGAACTATAACAAAGAACACATAACTCAAGTAAATACAAAATATCTATTGCTTCGATTTATTGATATTTATTGTTTTGTAATAAAAAGAAAAATTAATTAATTAAATCTGATTTTTTTCAATTAAAAAATGCATTGTTTTTTCTTTAATTTACAGTTGCTCCAAACTATATATTATGGTCATATTTCACCAGTTGATTTCAGATTCAATCACGTTGACCACAAGGACTGTAACTATGAGAATAGTAATGAGAATAGTAATGATGAAAATGTAATTAACAAAGATGGGAAAGTTTACGTTACTATCAAATTAGATAACCCAGAACCTATACCGAATCCTTAAGGATGCGTTAAAATTGATTAAATACTAATAAATTCTAAAGTTGCATAGCATGACAACGTACAGCTAACCCATTACATTTATAATGTTCAATGTAATCTATTAAATTTTTTTATCAAGAAACCCTTTAACATTGTTTATAAATACTATTAAATTCAAAATTAGTGACAATAACTTATCTACAAAAATGATAAATTCTTAGGCCAGCTTGTTTAATTGGAGATCTTTAGCTCAATATAAATATATTTGTTATGCGTTGTTAAAAAAAAATAAACTGTACCAGATTATATTAAAGAGTAAAAAAAATTATAAATAATTATAAATTTCTGAGAAGTTTTTGTTATTAATTTAATTAAATACTTAAAAATAGATAATATTGTCCTATGCTCCGCCACCAATTACTACTGTAATCCGACACATTTGGGCTGGTTTTTGTTGTATAGTTATGGTACACTCGAGTATTTATAAAACTATATAATAACGATAATTTTAGTACAATGAGCACATTTTTCTTTGGGATTTCATCAATAGTATTTATGTTTGGATTACATTACATAAAACTACATTATGATTACTAATAGTGGAATCAAACGACTAGGTGCGACATGCGATTTGAAATTTACACTTCATTAGTGTATTTATTTATTTATTTAAATGTACATTGTGTAGACATAAAATATAATAAAATATAATATAAAATATAATTTAACAAAATAATTAATGATACAATCCAACATTAAAATGATTACAGAAAAAAATATAGGGAGATATAAGGTATAGTTATTAGAATGGATTGAAAAACCTTAAGAAATTTAGTCTAAAAAAAATTAATAAGTAATAGAAACTTTGACCTGGATTAATATACTTAGTAGTTAGTGAATAGGTAGTGAATGAGTAAAAAGGATAAAAGTTGGATTGTGACAACACTAACAAACTAAATAGTGTAATCATTTGAGAATACTTGTCAAAGTTATGTAAACTAGAATATTTTAATATTTAATTTGATCACCTAAAAATTAGTGTCGTTAAGTCGACGTAATCGTCATTCCAGCTTACTTTAGTCACTTCGACGATTGCTGACTGACCTCGCTGTATACCTACGATGATTGTAAAATCGGTTACTAATTGTTCTAGTTTATTCTAATTTCTAAATCTTGT